TTTTAAAACGTCAGTTGAAATGCACTAAGCCTATACAAGTATATTGATATGCTTACAGGTATAAAATAAGTAACTAGAATTACAGGCATGTATGGTTTATGATATACAGGATGTCCTAGGCTGAACGTGCATTAGAAGTTTCTAGAGAACTACAACAGCTAGCTCGGAGATTTTTTGAACATCATAGTTTCATAATGAGATCCATCGATTAAAAATATTTCCAAACTGCACTTCCGAAAATACCGGAAGTTGACAGCAACTTTCTTATTTTAAATGGGTGCCCCCATTTTTTATTATGTACTTAAATTCTCTGTAAAGTAAGTAGTGTAAAGTAATCTTGATATTAAACACTCTATATCTAACTATAATTTTTATTGTTGTCGATCCAATAATATATAATGTGTTCTTTTTTTATAAATTGGATTAGGATCGAAAGAAATCAACAGAAGTCCTTTGTTTTAAATTTGTCGACGTTTCGCAAAATTTATTTGCATCTTCAGGACACTACAAAGTTAAGAGAGCAAAAATTACAATCAAATAAAAGTTTTTTCAAAAATTTAACAAACAACTTAAAATACATATCAGTGGAATTCCACACATATACAATTGGTAAAACTACCCTAATGTTAACAATTAAATAAAATATATGTATATGTTACTCACATTTAAATCTGGACTTTCTTAGTCATATCCATTAATACACGGATGGTATAGAGGGGAGTGGTATATATCCCTTTTTTCCTTTTAAAACACATAACATACAAAACACATCCAATAAGCCTTTAAGTTTTCAAAGAAAGCAATTTCAAAACATGATAAAACAAACGGCTATTTTTCTTAGTAAGAATAAAGATAATATATTAGTATTAAAGGCAGATAAGGGTAATACTACCGTTATCATTAATAGAACTGAATATCTAGAAAAATCTCAAAATATTCTAAGAGATGAAACGACATATAAAAAATTAAAAAAAGATCCAACGATAACAGTTCAAAATAAAAACAAAAAAATTATTGACACTTTAGTAAGAGAAGGTTTTATTGACAACGAGCAAGGTAAGAAATTAAAAACTGGTGCTGCTAATCCACCGAAGATTTATTTTCAGCCAAAAATACATAAAAATAATCGACCTTTCAGACCCATAGTATCGTTTGTGGGATCACCTCTGTACTCTCTGACAGGTTTTTTAGCATCTCTTTTAAATGGTATGTTTGTCAAGAACGACAGTTATGTCCGAAATTCATTTGAATTTGTTAATGATATAAAAAGCATTAAATTACCTAAAGATTATCAACTCATATCTTTGGACGTTATATCACTTTTTACTAACATTCCTACAGATATAGTAATTAATATAGTTAATAAGAAATGGCATCTTATAGAAAATGAAATAAAAATTCCCTTACATAGATTTGTTGAACTGTTAACATTTATTTTTGATAACAACTACTTTCAATACCAAGATGAGTTTTATCAACAGATATATGGACTGGGAATGGGTAATTGTTTATCACCGATTTGTTCTGATTTAGTTATGCAGGATTTACAGGATCAATGTATTAAAAAACTTCCTTTTCAATTGCCGTTTTTTAAACGTTATGTTGATGATATTATAACTTCAATTCCTATTAATCAAGAACAAAGTATATTAGACATATTTAATTGTTATCACCCTAAACTACAATTTACATTGGAGAAAGAAATAAACAACAGCATAGCATTCCTTGACGTGAGACTAATTAGACACAATCAATTAATAGAGACAGATTGGTATCACAAGCCGACATTCTCTGAGAGATTTCTCAATTATTCCTCCGAACATTCTTTGAAACAAAAAATTAATGTTATTAATAACCTGAAAATCAGAGCTACATCACTATCATCAATTAATTTTCATAATAAAAATTTAAAATATATCGAAAGCATGTTGATTAAAAATAATTATCCAATATCTATGATTAAAAAAATTCTTAACAAGAAAACCGTTGTAAAATCTACTAACCAAAATGATAGAGAAGTTTATTGTAAAATACCTTATATCGACTGTCTGTCAGAACAAATTAAAAACACATTTAAGGGTCATACTACAAAAAAACAGGAAAAAATAAAAATTACAACAAGGAGTCATAACACCATAAAGAGACGGTTCTTTTCAAAAACAAAATCAAAGAATAAAAAAGAACTGAAATCCGGCATAATATATAACATTCCTTGTACTCAATGTCCTAAAAGCTATGTTGGGCAGACCGGTAGATATTTAAAACAAAGATTGAATGAACATAAAAATGATCAAAGGAACTTTCTTTTGAAATCTAATCCTACCGCATTAGTAGAACACAAAATAGAGACAGGCCATAACTTCGATTTTGACAATACCACTATTTTACAAACACAATCTAATTATAAGAAAAGATTATTTGCAGAGATGATAGAAACTAAAAACAAAAATTGCGTTCATAAAAGAACAGACGTAGAAAACCTGAGTACAGCATATTTTAATATTCTTTCAAAAATTAAATAATATAACTTCAAAATAATGGTTTAAATCCAAATAATATTTTTATATGTTTTTTTTCAACTGTTCTTTATCTCCAGGTAAAATTATATTAGTATTTTACCAACTAGAATTAGTTGCTCTCTGTATACGGTCAACGTAGGTACATCTGCACTGCGTGTCTGTGAAAGGAAAAGATTTTCGTGATATTTCTCTATACATAATTGTGTTATATGTTTTTTTATGTAAGTGTGTTATGTGTTTTAAAAGGAAAAAGGGATATATACCACTCCCCTCTATACCATCCGTGTATTAATGGATATGACTAAGAAAGGCCAGATTTAAATGTGAGTAACATATACATATATTTTATTTAATTGTTAACATTAGGTAGTTTTACCAATTGTATATGTGTGGAATTCCACTGATATGTATTTTAAGTTGTTTGTTAAATTTTTGAAAAAACTTTTATTTGATTGTAATTTTTGCTCTCTTAACTTTGTAGTGTCCTGAAGATGCAAATAAATTTTGAGAAACGTCGACAAATTTAAAACAAAGGACTTCTGTTGATTTCTTTCGATCCTAATCCAATTTATAAAAAAAGAACACATTATCTATATCTAACATTTACCGTTTTTGAGAAAAAAAAATATTTAAAATTTTTGAATGAAAAAAACTGCCTGTCAAAAATGTGTATAGCCTAAACGTCAAATTTCGTGATTATCACAGCCACTGTGCCATAAAGAGGAAACATGTGACTATCTATTCCAAAAATTAAATTGTTCGAATGTCATATAATAATGGCCGCAGCTGTCATAGAATTGAGCAATTAAAAAATTATCATAAATCATTTTTTTTTTCAAATAGAAACCCACTTTTCTTATTTCGCTAGTGAAAAGGCTTTTCAATTCATTACTTTTTAACTATACATGTTCCTATACCTAAAATAAGTCGTTTTTAAGATATTTAAGATTTAGTTTTAAAGCGTATATTTTTCTTGATTTTAACCAGTAGCCTATGACTTTAAACATCAAATGATGTAAAATAATAGATCTGGCCATGTCATATTGTGAAGCTTTATTCAAAAAGCAGAATCATTTTCGGGCCAACTTTGCGCTGTTTTTTTTCGATCATACGGAATATTATTAATAATATCATTACAGTTGAGGGTTGGAACCTTTGGTGTTACACAGCAAAATAAAAACATTAAATCACCACAATACACCAAAACACTTTTACTTTTACACTGGACGCGCGTTTCGCTAACCATGTTAGCATCATCAGTAGATGATTATAAACTAAAGTACAATCTACAAGTTGAGTGTTTATATATTCACCCAGTGGGCCCCGAGTGGGCGTGGCAAAATCTAGCCAACCGAGTCAGAGCCCACTGAGCGTAACAGTTAGATTTCCGCCACTAGAGTAGTAGGAACAAAGAACTTGAAGGAATTGGACCGTTGTCTCTGTTCATACTATCTTTACATTTATTAATTCTGATGCTTTCATATGCATCTAATTGCCTGTAATTTGAGACTTGTTTAATTAATTTTAAATTATTAAGATCTATATACAATGTTCTTTATCAACAATATGTTCGGCAACGCAAGATTTATCCGGTCTACCATATCTTATCTGAGCTAAATGTTCTGTAAATCTAGTTAATATTGATCTTCTAGTTTGCCCAACATATTTCTGATTACAATCTTTACAAGAAATTTCATAAATACCCGACCTTTCCAGTGGAGGTGTTTTATCCTTTGGATTACCTAATAATTGTTGTAATTTATTATTAGCACTATACACAAGTTTATAATTGACATTCTTAAAAATTCCTTTTAGACCACGGGATAATTCTCTATCAAACGGTATCGAAAAATATTTAGACGTATCTTTCTCCACTTGAAAAGTCGAATTTTCAGAAATCATTAACCTATACCTACGTTTTTTAATTAATTTATCAACTAGTGAAGGAAAATATCCATTACACTCAGCTACATTCCTAATGTAATCTCTTTCTATTTCATATCTTTCGTTGGAAAGTGGGAAACTAAGTAATCTATGAACTAAGAAATCTATGAACGAAAAAATCTTGCGTTGCCGAACATATTGTTGATAAAGAACATTGTATAGATCTTAATAATTTAAAATTAATTAAACAAGTCTCAAATTGCAGGCAATTAGACGCATATGAAAGCATCAGAATTAATAAATGTAAAGATAGTATGAACAGAGACAACGGTCCAATTCCTTCAAGTTCTTTGTTCCTACTACTCTAGTGGCGGAAATCTAACTGTTACGCTCAGTGGGCTCTGACTCGGTTGGCTAGATTTTGCCACGCCCACTCGGTTCCCGATTGCTTTAAACCTGAACTTACCCTAAACCGAGTATGAATAACAGGGCCTTAGATTAAGATTTAAATTTATTTAAAAATTAAATTTAGAATGTTTATACAAAATATTTATTTACTAAAATATCAAAAATAATAATCTTTAAGTATTTTAATTATGATAATCTAATGTATAAAATTTTAATATAAGAAATACACCTCTCAACTTTCAACAGGAATATTTTATATATTGTCTATATCTTATATCTTCTTTTCTTTGATGGAGTCGGAGCTTCATCACTACTGCTTTCTGCAATATTATCACCTTGATTTGGCTCTTCTTCTTCACTAGGAGAGTCTTCACTTTGTTGTCTTGATCCTATAAAATTGACACAAACTAAATACATGAATCTATTTTACATGGTGATGAAAGTTAATGCCCCGAGCTAATACCAGGAAAATAGAAGACATAAATGGAAATTTGGTCAATGAAATCAAAAGGAAAGAGATCTATTAAGAGTTTTGCATATAGTTACTTCGATTTTTAAAAATAGAGAATTAAATGTCATAAAAACGATTTTTCCTACCCCATATCATTTGTATTTGTCACAATTCGGAAAGAACATATTGTAGATAACTTCTGTATAACTTTTTTTTTCTCTATCATTACGAATTTAGCTTACAAATAGCAGGGTCCGGCGTTAGCGCGTCGTAGCTCCTATAATAAATGAATTAATTTTGTATAGACGCACCCGCCGGACTCTGTATATACATAACAAATGTTTGCCAAGTATAATACACGAGCCTTCTGAGCGCGCCATTAGATCAGAATTGAGAGAGATCAGAGACACATATCAGCCCAAGTCTAGAGAAATAATTTAAAACCATTTTCAAAACTGTGGGATTTTTTTCCACCGATTTGACTCGGCTAGTAGTGTATATTAAACATGTTATTTTGTGAGTATATGGTTTTGTAATAATATACTTAAAACTATTTTAAAAGCCAAACGAATATAATTAATATAGTATATCTGCCAAGAAAAGAAAAACAAAACGAAACTATTATACACCAGAAGAAGAATAGGATGCCAATTAAACTCTTTTTAAATCTGGTAACTGTGCATATTAAGCGGAGCTTAAAGGCCGCCTGCGTGTCGTCGATCCAAAACAGAAAGTTAAAAATGTCTATTCTGATTCTGAATTCTGAAAAATTATATTCTGATTATGTACTAATTATAATATTGTCGCGACATCTGGTATTTTATTTGTACAATTTTAGCTATTTCATTACCAATATTTTTTTGTTGCGTATATATTCTGTGCTACTAGGCTGGCCGTGATCATGAGCTAAGGTCGTTGTGCAATCCGGGCGCTTAAAAAACGACGATAAGTAGTATGTAAAAGACTATGCATATATAAAACTAATTAAAATGTTCTTCTAATGTGCCTCACCACCTTCTAATGCTACGAGCCTCCCCTGTTAATTACATACCTGATTCATCTTGAGATTGCTTAGACGGTTTTACCCTAAAATCCCTTGCAACTCCTTGCCCTATATATTTCGACAGATCCACTTTAGTTTTTTTAGTAAGCTGAATTAAGTATCTACTAAGTTGTTCAATTTCATACACAATCTTCGGAATAAGTTTTGATTGTTTTAGAAATTTATTTTTCGCAGCAATGCTTTCTTTTGTTTTGCTGCTACTTTGTTTTTCATTATTGCCAATTTCTGTGGATTCGCCAATTTTTCCAATAAAGTCGTAAACATTAGGATTTAGTTCTTTACCAACTAACTTGATTAACTTTTCAAACCTAAAAAAATAAGCAATAATAAATTAAGAATAACTTTAAATAAATACTAAAAAATAATTAAAATATAAGTATCAGCTTTGTTTAGGTTAGGTTAGAGAAAAAAATAAAAACTTTTATCACCCTGTATCTAAAAAGTTAAGATGTTTAGGACATATATTCATATGAAGTTTTTTCTCTTAGAATAGGTCCAAGAATTAGCTCCTTAAATATTTGCATGTTATTAAGGAACACCCTGTATAACGTTTAACACTTTGGGCGTACCAAGGTAAAGCTTGCCAAAGCTTACCATGAGCCGTTCGGTATACAAGGAAGGTAATGTGGCTAGCAATACGCTTCAACCGAATATTATTACTTCAAGATTGTGAATTCCAAGTATTCATTTAAAACTGAGTCGGCCTAAGAAATACCCAAACTATTTTTATTTTATTAAAAATAAAAGGCTGATAACTACCGGCCGCCGCAGGATTCGAACCCACAACCTTTAGATTGGTATACGAGTGCTGTACCTCTACGCCCGCCCCCAGGCACCACGGGATATTTTTTACCTATGTCTGTTTAAGTTTCTGTTTTTTAATCTGCAATACATATTATACGTATTAAAACTTTATACTGATTTGGTCATTCTAAAGTGTAGTCTGGATTTTAACGTGTAAGACAGAGAATAATATAAATGACCGATTGACAGAGAGACAAAATCAAAAGTGGCATACAGTGTTGCCGGTTTTTGTGTGTATGTTTGTAGGAAAATTTGTGTAGAAAAAAATAAACTATTTTAAAAACTTTCATGTATACTACTGAAATGAAGATAATATATCTAAGCTAAATATAATCTATTACATCTATAGTAAAATGTAATATAATTAAGTTATAGGCTGTAGAAAACAAAACTTTAGTTTACATCAGTTGACAACCTGCCATTAAGTTTCCATTTTGCTTGATAGATTGAAAAATGCTGTTAAAAGCACTGAGTGTAGCGCTGGAAAGTGATTGCTTGAAGTAAGCACTCTTTTTTATTAATATTTTAACTTTGGTAGAAGAAAAATGTTAAAGGGACAAAAAGTGCTAACAATTCAACTAGATTTTTGAATACCTCTATAATGGTTTTGACAAATTAAAAATGACAGTTTCTCTTTACGGTAGTACTCTTTTTAATGTTAGATATTTCAATTGTTCAAGTTAACATGAGAAAGATTTTTTAAAATATAGCGCTCTACGGCCAAAGAAAATCGTCAAATTGATTTACTGCAGGTTTTTGATGTAAATAATATACTGTGTGATATAAAAGTTGCAACACCCAGTATACGGGTGCGTCTCAAAAGTAGCTCACCCCCTATAACTTCTTTATTTTTTCAGATAAAAAAAACGAGATTTGCTGACATAAATTGATGACATAAATTAGGATTAATTGACGTATTCAATTGTTTTTCGTCCCTTCCTGTTTTACAGGAAATTACTACAACTTTTGATTTTTAAATGGCACCGTCGGTATATTTTTATTTTTTACTTTATTTGATAAAAAATGATATTCTGAATAGAATGACATATCATATGTCAACTTTTGACATTTTCGTTTATAACAAAACCGTATTTTAAATTTCAATCTAGAGTGCCATGGCCGTGTTAAAAACACTAATGGCAGGTTTATACAACATAGTCATAATCATAATCACAATTTCAGTCACAATCATAAAAGTTAAAACCATTATTTTAGATACGAGCGTTTATACATCTCAGTCGTAATCATAAGCATAACTTAATAACCTGAAGTTCGTAAATTTTAACTTTTATGATTGTGATTACGACAAAAATCGAAGATCGCCTGCGCGGCGTCAATTTTTAGGGTTAGAGGACATTATTTATTTATAATTTTCATTTTAATATTTAATAATTATGATAATTTTCGTGTTTGACAAACCAAACCAAACCTGACTACTAAAATTTAAACAGAAATACACTTCTAAAATGATTATGAAATAGAAAAATAAGAAAATTAGGTTACTTTTAAACTGTATTTACATTCAAAGTTATAATTAAGAGTATGTTGTATAAACGCATATTAAAATTGTGATTGTAACTGTGCTTATGCTTAAGACTAAAATTATGATTATGATTACGACAATGTTGTATAAACCCGCCATAATTTTTAATCAAGAAGCCTTGGAAAAATAGATTTATTTAATCGTCTAATATTTTTCGTGTCTTGTCCTGGCCGCTTTAAATATGCCCAAATCGTATTTTTAGCCATATTACTTATTTTTTTCAAATGGAACAAGGGTGGCTCATGTTGGTTTTCTTTGTTCCAATATCGATAATTTTGAACATTGGGTTCATTATTTAAGGTAAGCGCGCATTCGTTAGTAAAACATATGTGTTTTAAAATTTCTCTATCCGTGTTTGCTCTTTCCATCATATCAAAACAAAACGCCTGCCGCCGTATTTCGTCCCCATCTCGTAGCTCTTGGTGCTTTTCATATTTGAAGGAATAGTATTTATGACGTTTCAAAATTCGAAACGCTGTAGTGTGATTTATTCCTATTTCATCCTCAAGTTTCCTTGTGCTGATCTTTCCATTGTTCTCTTCCACGCACAATAAAACTTCCAAGTCGGTATCATTTCTTGCATCTTCTCTTTGTTCCTGCCTTGCTTCATATCTGCAGTTATTTATTAGGGTACCTTTGGTCTCAAATCTCTGAATATACCTTGCGATTTTAGATTTTCCAGGTATCGGTCTATTCAGATATAGAGCAGCAAACATGTCAGAAGTTGACGTATGATATGTCATTCTATTCAGAATGTCATTTTCTACCAAATAAATTTAAAAAATTGAGGATACCCTTTAAAAATCAAAAGTTGTAGTCATATCCTGTGAAACAGGAAGTGACCGAAACTAATTGAATATGTCAATCAATCTTGATTTATGTCATGTACTAATATACCAAATATCGTTTTTTATCTGGAAAACTGAAAAAGTTATAATGGTGAGCCACACACGAAAAACACCCGGTATACCATAAATGTACTAAAAAATTTAATAGGTACTATTCTTGCTTTCTCTAATAATAAGAATTAATAGAAAATAACCACATTTTTTAAGATTGGAAGCTAAAAAATTCTTAAAACCAGTAATATACTTATTACCACTTACTTTCCCACTTTAGCCTACAGTGCAGTGGGATGGCGTAAAATACTTTAGTCGGGCACTTCTGACTTCTACCGTATCGAGCGTTGCTATCGGAATGTTTAAAATTAACTGAAATATAACCAAGCCTATACGAGCTTAGGTTTCATTGCCAACGTTTCTAGATATGTTTTTTTTTTCATTTATAACCTGGTTGTATCGATCTTGGAGGCTTTTGAGCTAGTTTCGTTATAACTATTTTTTCGTTATTATTTATTACAAAATTAATTTTAAATATTCTATATTCATCATCTACAAACTTGTAATAAAATAATGGCTATGGTAATCGCAAAGCAATTTCCGATGCACGTGATCAACTTTGAGGGACAAGCGATGGCGACAGCGCTGCCAGGATTTATGAGACGAATCTTAATTTAAAATTGGCAAACAATATATTTATTATATCGTTTTTTAAAGAGTTTTACGTTTTATTTTTAATTTAATAACTAATATGTTAGCGATTAATTGATTTATTTATTTTATAGCTTATTTTACTTAGTACATATTGGCAAAAACTAGTCCATTATGAAGATTATTATAATCGTTATTATAGGTTATTTATTTATTGATGTACATCTTACAACGCCATAAGTGGTAATAAAAAAGAGGGTGCTATTAATGCACAAACTAATAATAACGGAATTTAATTATAACTAACTTTGAAAATGGTATAATGTGCTTATCAATCAAACTTACATTTTTGACTGCAGTCAAGGGTAATAAAGAACCTTTATTGTCACGTTCTCGTTCTAAATAGTTTTAAAAAAACAGGGAAGCTACAAGCTCTTTGCTTCGACTGTTTAAATGCTTCGGCATATTTTCAACACACAAATTTCAAAAAATTCAATACAAAAACTCGAAAATTTAGTTCAGAAAATAACTGTTTGTGAAAGTGCAATTTAAAAAAAAAGACTATGAAAATAGACAAAAAACGAGAATTTTATATTTTTATAATTTAAATTATACAACAAAATTAAACATTTTTGCCAAAATTTCATTTAGTCAGGTTTATAGACTTTAGTGTCAATGTCGATATGATTTAGTGGTGGGCAAAACCTTTATTTTTAAATAACAGTTGAAACTGTTACTGTTATTTATATATAACAGCTTAAAATAACAGGTTCTGTTCTTTTTTGACTTTAATGTTAAACACCTAAAATATCATACGCGTTGTCCAAATTGTAGTAAAATCATAAAAATCTTCATATTTATTTCTTAATAAAAAATAATGTACTTAATGTAAATTTATAAGCAAATTAAACTCTGTTGAAAGTACATATTTCAAAATATTAATAAAAATAAATAAGTAACTGAAACATAATAACTAAGTTCTGAAACCTCGACTGAAACTTACAAAACAAACTTTAAAATGTAAATAAATATATAAAAATAAATTTGCAGACAGCAAAATAGTAAAATAAACTTGCTCAAAACGATTTTAGTAACACAAGCTTAATCAAGACAATTTTCTTTAATTCAGTTATAATTAATAATTATTTTTATTTACCATGCATTATTAATGCCAAAAAATATCCAGAAATCCGACAAAATAAAACCACTTTTAAACTATTTTACGCAAAAAAAATATGCATTAAAAATTAAGTAATTGAACGCCACCGTACACCGCGATCGACCCACACAGGCGAAAAAGCTATTATTTTCCAACACCGCTTATCTCGACCGCCGCCCGTTATGCTCGTAACAGCTGCTTATTTTATATACTGTTATTTTTAAGCTGTTGCAAGCCCATCGACCGATGCGGCAACGTTCGCCGTGACGCATTCCCCCCATGGTTGGCGAAACAACAGATTTTTCATACTAGTTGTTTTTTGGAATTGCTTCGAGCCGCATAGGGTTTCGTGGCGATGCAGAGCGCTGACTTTCTTTCACGAGCGGTCGATCTCTACATGTCGTTATTTTATATTTGTTATTTTTTAGAAGTAGCAACGGTTGTTATTTCCAAATAACTATTGTAAAATAACAGATATTTAAATATCAACCCATCAAATAAAAAAAAAACAAAATGTCTTGCGATTACATTATAAATTTATACTTACCAGACACCCTGGAAAGCAGCATGATTCTTCGACGACTTTCCCAAAAAATATTTTGTTAATGCAGAAACGGACGAGTAGAACTGTATTAAGTATTTAGTAACTGGTTCGGGGTTATAGACTTCCAATAGAATTAATGCGTTAACAATGCTTGTTAATATTTTTGTCACAAAACATAGCTGACAAGAAATGCCTTTTTCCTTTGCCCTTAAATTTTCTTCTCCTAAGGAAGAATATATTTATTGTACTATAAAAAAATCGTCTTTATTGTACTATAAAAAGATAGTTACAATTTGTGGGTGAAGTTTAGCTGTAAGCTACTCTACCACTTAACTCAAACATAAATTACATTTCCTTATATATTCAATATACTTACAATATACAATATTCAAAAAAAAATAGAAATAAATTATCCAACATGATGTTAAGAAAAAATAAAATAAAACAGATAACAATATGCATAGATTATACTATAAATTCATTATGTATCGGAGGTTAGGAAATATCGTTTTATATTGTATCTGAAGGATGTCAGTATGTCAGTGATAGATTTTTAAATTTTTCAGGTAATGCGTTATATAGTTTTACAGCATTGTATGTAAACGAATAGAAATAAATTATCCAACATGATGTTAAGAAAAAATAAAATAAAACAGATAACAATATGCATAGATTATACTATAAATTCATTATGTATCGGAGCTGAGGAAATATCGTTTTATATTGTATCTGAAGGATGTCAGTATGTCAGTGATAGATTTTTAAATTTTTCAGGTAATGCGTTATATAGTTTTACAGCATTGTATGTAAACGAGCGACTAAAAAGGGATGTTTTTGCTTTGTCATTGGAAATTTGTTTAAAAATCTTATAGGCCTTTATACTATTAAATTTCGCGATATTAACTTCATTATCAACTACTGTGGCTGAGCGAATAAACGGTGAATAAAAGAGAAACTGAAAACTTTTGTTAATTTTTAACCATTTTAATTGTTTAATATATGGCCAAATGTGGCTGTATCTATTTACCTGGCAGACAAAACGACAACAAGAATTTTGAATTTTCTGTAATTTATTGGCACTTAATTAACAAATAATATACGTTTTGAATATTAATATATTTTCTAATAGTGTATAGGGTGTCCCATTTTGGTTGAAATCATACGGTATCTCGGTTATTAGTGAATATATATTATATCATATTCCATATTTTCAAAAATATTTTTTTCGTTGAAAAACAGACTACGCCATTGTATTCTACGTAAAAAAGTTCTACAAGAATCAGTTTTCACCTTCTCGATATCATTCACAATAACGGAAATATGGGGTCTGTTCCAAATTGCAAAATTTTCGAAAAAACTCTGTAGCTCAGAAACGAAGAGGTCTATGAAAATTTTGTTTACAGTATCTTCTGTTTGACAAAAAACTGGGACAGGTTTGTACAAACCGCATCCTCCTATCTTTACTAATAACGGAGATACCGTATGATTTCAACTAAAATGGGAGACCCTGTACAAGGAGGGGAGAACACTTACTTCTTTCAACATTATTATTGCTTAATACATTTAGGATATAAAATTCGGCTTTCATATGGCCAACTATATTGTCAACGTCATCTAGTACAACCTTAATATTAGTACACAGAGACAGAACAGTTGGATTAAACCTTTCCTTTTCAATAGATACTATCTGTTCATCAGTTTCATTCATACTGTCCTGAAAAAGCAAAAACATAAGTCCCTATTTAAGAACGAAGCAGTCGTTAATACTATTAGTATTAGTACGTTAATGCAAAAGTAAATGTTATATTTATTTCCTGTCTATTCCCCCGTGTCAGAGCATATTTTGTTTGGAAAAAATCTTGACCTATCATAACAAACATAGCCGACGTGACGTCAGTTTGCGTGGTCAATTCCCAACAAAAGAATAGATCAACAAGTTACGGAAACTGTTCTCGGGAAAAAAAACTGATGGTTTTCCCTGTATATTTTTGAGATATCGATGGCTCATATACCCCATTCACCGCTAAGTCACCATACTCCATAGAGTGTAAGGATTTCTGTATCTGTATAATATTTACGGATAATAAATATCCGTAAACGATAGTTAACCTACATCTACAAAGGATGGTACTAGTGGAAGACTCCGAATGACCCTGAAAATGAAATGACCCTGAATGATGTCCCACAGGACCAGGTTTGAATAGTTTGGCAAAACTATGCTGGACCCTATCAGACATTATAGATCATCTTCCATTAGACTTATCAGAGACATAGATCTATAAGGTCGCTTCTATAACTTCCCCCTTCCATACAATCTACCAGACCTTGGAAACATATAATTCTTGGATATAACCATATATTAGAAGGTTTGGTATTGAAGGTAAAATTTAACAAAATATAGAAATGAGCTGCAATAGGTCCTTGCAAACAAGCGGCAGCACTTGCGGCCGCACTCTTGATAAAACAAAAAATGCATTACACTGACGTCTACTTATTTCGTGGATAAAGCTATGCAATATGTATATTACACAAGACTTTCTTTACGGGACTTTCACATGCCCATTTTCCTATTTATTTCTTTCTAGAACAAGCCCACCCTTCTCTCTGCATGCGCTACTGAGCATGCGCAGAACGATATTAGACGTGAATCTTAACTTGGAGCGTTTTTTAGCTGTGTTGACAACAATTACTAAAAATATGAACCATTAAAATTTTTTAATCAAGACAACTATTGTATTTATTGTATGTTATATTATTTTAATATACTTTTTAATATAAATTTTAAACAAAAATTTAATCATCTAACGATAAACTATTTTTATTTTTATTTAAAGAAGAAAACATTCGACCAATGTGTACTATCAGTCATGGCCTATGCATGCGAATCCTGGACAGTTAAAACATAAGGAAGCTGCAGGTCGCACAACGCTCAATGGAACGGACTATGCTTGGAATAATCAAAAAAGACCGTAAACTAAAGAGTGGATACAACAAAAAAACCCAAGTAATAGACGTCATCCACAGAATCAAATGCCTCAAGTGGCAATGGGCAAGATATCTCACGAGGAATTAAAAAACCTAGGAGAAGACTTAATCTGAAATGGGATTATGGCATTAGGAAATTATCAGGGATAACTTGGGTCCGCATAGCCAACAATAGACAACAATGGGCCCCACTACAAAAAGAGTATCTAAATATGTGAGGGATCAGTCAGCCACTAATATGATTGATTTTGCAATGAGACCATTTTTAAACATAAATTTCTGCATATTAAGCTTTGCAATTTCTGCACTTCCAAAATTAGAAAATATATTTTTTATACTTTTTAATTATATGTGTTTAATTAAAACATAAATTTTATTAAACTACAAAAAAGCCTAGCCTGTCCGCCGTTAGATTATTTAATATATTTAAGAGTTGAGTGTCTGATTGATACTCAGGACATTTAGCCAAAAGATATTTTGATTAGAAGTATACTTAAATAAGTATAATAGGTATAAGTAACTATCATACTTACACTCTGAGATCCCTCACAAAAAGTTGCAACTTTTTCCAAAATGTCCAGGCCTGGTCTATACCTTAAATGTAACTCAAACAATAAATTCAAAAATGCTCCGCAAACTTTATGAGATACTCTAGCTTCATAAATATGTCCTTTTAACCAATCGTATGTCTGAAACAAACTATTATTAATTACGGAAAATTACAAAAATATACTATGCTTGTACCTCTATACTTAACACGTTACTATGGTTAGGCAAAAAACCGCAAAAAACTGATATGCAGTTAAAAAGTATTAACGATAATTTCTTAATTTCTATTTCATTTGAAAGCTCGTCTTCATCAGTATCAAAAAGTTTTTTAAGAACTTCAAAAAACGGTTTCAGATGTTCTATCAATTCTACTTCCTTTTCTTTGCCACCTAAAATTATTTTAATATTATTTATACGGTATTACATAAATATACAGGGCGATTCACGGCCATGGCACGGTAGATGTTCATGGAGAATCAATTTTTGCATAAAGACACCTGCTCCATCTGTCTAAATTATTTTCAAAATTACAGTGTTGCCGTTTCATACTAAAAATGTTAGCATCTTTGTTATTTTAAATGGAACACCCGGTATATTATTATATTTTTCGAAACTACTTCCATATCTCCAAATTTTTCTACTATACTAACCTATACCAATCTCTAATAGTTTTCATAAATTAGGCATTTTCAAAAATTACAATTTGGTTTCTAGGTTAAGGAAAGTCGACATATCCAATCTGTCTAATCAACTGAGTGGATATCAAACAGGGTCAGAAAAAATAATATAATTATTTCCGACTGTTTTGACGAAGAAGAACGACTGAAATAGTTCAAATTATTGTTATCTTAAATTCAAGCGTATGTATATTTATTATTTAAAAAATCGAAATCCAGATAAAATTACTTCTCAACGATATATCATGTTCCTATACCTAAACATTCAGGTTTCTTCGGTAAAGCCATTTAAAAGATAATAATTCTATTATAAATTGTTTCTTTAAAGAAAATCGTAACCACCGAATATTAACTAAGACAAATATTCAAACTTTATAAGTATCAATTCAGAGTTTACGTGCTAAATTTCTAAAACTGTCATGGTAACGAAATTCTTGAAATAAAACTATAATAATTAATAGAATGATTAATTTTTAAATAGCTCTACTTAAGAAACCGGAAGGTTTAGGTACAGGAACATGATATATAGTTGAAAAGCAATTTTATTAGTCTTTTGATTTTTTAAATAATATACATAGGGTTGAATTTAAAATAACGAAAATTTGAGCAATTTTGTAGCAGACGGAAATAAATAATAAATTTGCTCTCCCTGTGTAATATCCAATCAGTTTATTTAGACAGATCGAATAAATCGACTTTCGTTAACTTATAACCCAAGTTTCAATTTAAAAATGTTTAATTCATGATTTTACCAATGCTGATTCACGATCATGGTTTTGTCAATTTTGTAGAATGTAGAATGTTTAGGAGTTAATCACCGCGACCTTACAGATCTATTGAGTGTTCCCTTTTTTTGAGTTATAACGAGTTATAACTCATCATACAGTCTCAGGGCTTTAACAAAAGCCAGTATCTGAGACTGCTCCACAGAGGCGAGCTCTCCATCCTCGACATCAGCCGTACCAAGTTCATGGCACGAATGGTCGTCGTCTCGGTGCACTCAGTGATAAGGTGTTCTGGTGATTCTCCATTTTCCCCACAGAATCTGCATTCGCCGTTATTTCTCAGCTTCAGCCTACTGCGGTGTTCGTTGGAGGAGACAGTGTCCTGTTAGAAACCCTGTGACAATACGAAGCTCGTTTTTACTTAAGTCAAGGAACACCGTTGATTTTTCTCGGTCGTAAGTTCTGAGGAACTTTTTCGAGTGTCTTAGACCTTTTCGAGTGTCTTAGACATCCATTCCAAGTTACGGATGGAGTCTTCCCAGATTCTTCAGTTCCGCTTTAGGTTGGTTCCCGTTTGGAAAACAGAACGGTTCTGGTCCAGTTAGTGGAGTGTTCGCTCCTTTTCTAGCTAGATCATTTGCTTTTCTATTGCCTTCTTCTATCCCTTGGTGAGCAGGCACCCAGAGTAGGAAGCCTTTATTTTCTTTGCCTAATTTGTTGAGCTTCTCAAGACATTTCTTTGACGAACTTCGAATTAATGGTTACTGAGTTAATCGCGTTTAGTGCTGCTTGACTATCGGATAGGATGGCAATTTCCTGTTTTCGATAGTTCCTATCTAAGATAAATTGTACGCATCTTTCGATAGCGCAAATTTCTGCCTGAAGGATACTGGGGTAGGTGCCCATTGGAGTATTTAGTTTTCGGCCCAAATACTCCTATCCCTGTCCCTGCCTTGGTTTTGGAAGCATCAGTATACTACGTTATGGTATGGCCTTTTATATGCTGAGTAAGCGTTTCTTTCTTCCAATCCTTTTTATTACTCAATACTATAGTGTGGTGTTTCTTAAAGTTGTAAATTCTTGGTGTGTCATCCACTGGGAGGTGGAGAAGTGGAATTTTCTTTTTGAAGGTGTTCCAAGCCCCTGACCTGAAAATTCTCCCAGTATTGTTTCCGTCAATAACCATTCTAATCATTGGTCGCATTGGCCACGACAATGTGCAGTGGTGTTAAGTCTAGAATGACCTCCATTGCTGCTGTTGGATGCAGATACATGCCAGTCTCTGTACTTTGCACAGGTTTTGCCTTGCTGTACGTTGCTCTAGTTTTGTGTACCAAACAACTGCTCCATAGGTAATCATGGGTCTTACTATTATGGTATACATCCAGCGCAAAATGTTAAGGGCGCAGCGCCGCTTATTTCCCCCAGCCTTCTGCATATCATGAGAGCCTTTGTGCTAGTAATTTGTGCTTTTTGCTAGTAATGTAACTTATGATCCAGGGTTATTCCCAGATATTTCACTTCCTGTTCAGTATTTCCTTTCCATCTAGGTGTCAATTTTGTCAATTTTACACATGTTTTACTTTTTATCTCAAAATCTATTAGAGATATAGTATAATAGAAAATTATGAGGTATGAAAGTAGTTTCCAAAGATGTAAAAATATACTTACTGGGTGTTCCATTTAAAATAAGAAACATGTTACCACTTCTCATATGATGCGGCAACACTGTAATGGTGAAAATATTTTAGAAAGATGGAATAGATGCCTTTATGTAAAAATCCAAATTTTCAAAAAAACTCACCGGTTCTCCATAAACGTCTAACGTGCCATCTCCGTGAATCATCGTGAATACAATTATATATGGTATTAATGGTATATAATCTGTCAAATGATAGAAATCTGACAGCGATATGTAGTTATTGTCGGTCACTTTAATACAAAGACAATTGCGTTTTCTGTCAATTTTTGGATATCATCTTTCAAAATCGTATCATCTCTCGTCGGACAGACTTAACATTACATTATTTATTTATATTTTTCTTACCAACTTCAGTGAAAAAATCTACAACTCTTCCTTTATACTGATTACTAATTAACAAAATAATACTATGAAAACATTCGATAGCCCAGATCGCCGATGTACAGTCAAAATCTACATAATCGTTGAATCTAGAAATACAAACAGTAGTATAGTAGTTTTTATATTTGAAAGAAAACTACTTCAAAATGTCTTACCTTAAAATAACTCTATCGTAGATTGTTTTACACAGGGAAGAAACATATCGAAAAATCAATTGTTTGTTACGATTATTTAATTTATGACTTTTTAATTTGTTAATTAGAAATATAGCTGCTTGGATAAAATGCCTATGAATGTTTGTTTTCGTTTTAATCATGTTAACTTGATTCACTGTTCCCCAAGAAACTGAGGACCTTAAAATAATTTATAAATTATCATTTATAATAAAAGTAGTTTATTAATTAATATCAAAACGGCAATAATCGGAATACACCATTAAATAGAAAGATTAAGATATGTATAAAGGTATAAAAAGTATCAGCACAACTAGTAATACTGCCAGTAATCTTCTTCTTCTTCTTCCTTCTTCATACTAGGCGAATCGCCTGTTTGGTTTCGTCGTCTCTACCGGTCAGACTGACAAGTTGTCGCTCCATCGTTTTCGTGGACGTCCTAAGCTTCTGCGACCTAGCGGTGATTTGTCGCGTGCAACTCTCACTATCCTTCTGTTGTCCATTCTGCTGATATGCTCGTTCCATTCTTCCTTTCTGTTGAGTACCCACTCATTTACATTTTCCACCTTGCACGCTCCTCTTATGCTTTCATTTCTCTCCCTGTCCAGAAGCGTCTTTCCAGTTATTCTGCGTAGTACTCTCATTTCGGTTGTTTCTAGTAGTTGTTTAGTTTTCGCTGTATCAGGTCGAGTTTCTGCAGTGTATGTCATTATTGGTCGTACCGTTGCCTTGTAAATTCTCGCTTTAGTCCTCCACCTCAATGTTTTTATTTCGCCATGTATCATTCAGGCATCCTGCTATTCTGGTTGCCTTCGTTGTCCGTTCTCGCACCTCCGCTTCTTCAGTAATATTAATAGAAATTAATTCTCTAGTTAGATACTAGTAAGTTCCAATATTATTTATGTTTTTAATCTAAGAACGATCACAGGCTGCACTAGTGATGCTACTCATAATAATCTCACTGTAATTCAAGTGTTGAAATAATGTGTATCCAGATTGATATACTTTGCATAAATCAATTGTAAAATAATCAAATAATAATAATAATAGAAAAGCACACAACTCGCGTAATTCAAACAAATATGACAATGATTTAAGTGACGCCACTTTTACCTATACGCCATACATTTCTAATGTATGACAAGTCAATATATGATAAGTAATGACTAAAGAATATAAGAACATGTAACGCCCATATACGGGCTGCAGCAGAATTTGTGACCTTAGACGCCATTCTTTTGATGGCAACGAATGAGTCATCAGCTGGTCAACAGCGACAATTTTAGCGATTTTTAATAGTTTGTGTGTAGTGAACTTTGTATAAACTTTATTACAATGGTGATTAGTTGTTCAGCTTTCAAGTGTAAAAGCAGCAGAGATAAGAAAGAGCCAGGAGTTCCGTTTCATAGGTAAATAAACAGTCTGTTCCACCTTTTTAGCGTTTTCTTAGTTTTTTTTATTGAATTCGATAATTATTTTTCTGATATTATATGTACTTGATGTGTGCTATACGTCGATAGTAGTTTTGTACCTTTTGTCGACATTTTAATACATTTTTTTCGTAATTAATTAGTATGATACCACCGTATACACCATAGCCGTAGTCAAAACATTTATCAAAAAATAGAAATATCTCTTCAAACAGCTAGGTTAAGAAAAATATGTGCCACGGCACTGTTTAGTGACATCAAATTTGCTCTCGGGTGTTATTTGTCCTTGTATTCTTTATCTTTAGTCATTGCTATACGTATATTTTACTGCTGTCATAGTTTTTTTTTTATTTCAATAGAATTCACATATAACTGGTTCGCTACTTGCGTCTAGCCGTACCCATGCCGTACCGTGCAACTTCAACCCACAGGTCCGATGGCGGTTGAAGTCTCCCGGTCATTTTCCAATGATACCCGCCAAATTTAAATCGTGGGTTATTTTCTTGTCTTCTATTATAAACTTGTAACTTTCGAGAGTATAAGTTCTTAAGTAATAGTAGCATAATTTAACCTAAATTTCAAAAACGTACAAATTATAATAATATATCCTAACCTAACCAACAGTTATACAAAATCGATTGGGTATTTCGAGTGCAATCTATAAACAAAAAAAAACTTACACCAAAGACTAACCAACGCAATCAAAATACACCTACGGCGTATTTTGATCGCTGTTACCAACAACTCTAAATAAATATAATAAAAAGAGCTTTAAAAAATAAAAACAGCTGTAAAAAAAATAAAAAAAGCTCTGCCTCTGTCGGCGCGGTGATCGATCCATCGTCCCGTTGCTCCCGAATCGGCAGCCTCAACCACGGAGCTACACGCTACTTTCGAAACTAGACTCTATTGAAGCATTACTTTCTTCTCCCGTTCCAATACGCATGCGCCGGACCTGTGGGTTGAGGTTGAAGAGTTGCACGGTACGGCTAGACGCAAATCTAGTTCGCTCTGGTGTATGTTGTGAAGTCACTTATATTGTAAAGTATGATCTAGGAACGCACCAGGCAATCTAGTCAATTTTTTTTGGGGAAAGTTTTGGGATAGTTCTGATTTAATTTGTTCTTTATGTTTTTTTGGGTCGTTGAATCCGAATTTGATGAAATGATAATAAAAAAAACATACTAGATTTTAATAATAAATTAAGAGTTTTGGAATACAAAAACAAGGTATTTGGAGACAACCAAAAACGCTAATTTCCAACTGGCTGTTGAGCGCGAACAAGTTCTTCAGAGAAAAAAAATTAATTAACAAAAATATAGGAAATTAAATTTAATTTTGAATAGAAAGATTATTTAAGAAAAGTTAATATTTTTAAAGTTATAAACAAAAAACCGCAAAAATCCAGTCTTTTCATTTTTCTTCATGTTCCGTCAGGAAATTTTGTTAGCAAACCTCAGATTCGAAATAAGCACCCCCAAAAACATGATAAATAGAAGAAAATTAGATTTATCCCAAAAATTTCCTCCAAAAGGCTTTTTTAAGTACGATATTACTAGATTAAGGTGTATGTGCTTTGTGGTAATATTTAACCCCAATGTCATATTATAAATATTTAATAATGTTGCGAGCCGGTGTGGACTCGACCTAACCTCACAATATGGCCCGCCCTCGGATGACCTTAACATCGCATAGACACCGCAATGATTCATTCGTTCGAGAAGAATCGAGACCCACTAGAATGGACTAGTACATACGAGAACATTCGAAAACCTTCTCTATGCGCCTAACGATCTATGGACTATTCTAGATTTCTTTTGCTGTAGGTATAAAAGCCGGCGGCAGTGGCCTAGAGAGGGCAGTTATAAATATACAGTTGACGCGCTAAAATTCAAAATAAATTCTTAGTTATAAATCGTTTGTAAATAGTTCTATAAGTCTTTTATCGTTATTGTTTTTGTTAATTAGTGTTAAATAAATAGTGTTTAAATAAATTGTGACTTTCTGTCCACACAGAACCGACGAAAAACGTAACAATTGGTGTCAAGTGTGGCGTGTGTGATAGACAAGAAAAATAAAAAGACTGACCATGGCTCTGAAAAAATTGTTGAAAGACTTGAAAGTGTCCGAACTGAAATGTATATTGGAAGAGAGAGAGTGCGAGACAGATGGAAAGAAAAGCATTTTGCAAGCCACGACTGAGAGACGTTTTGATTGAGGAAGGTGAGGATCCTGACACATTTTGCTTTGAGTTGGAAGGTGACCTTGGCTCGTGCCTACAAAAATTAGAAGACAGTTTGAATGACAAAATTACAGAAAATTCCCGGGAATTGCAAGACAATTTAAACGGCAATTTGAATAGTAAAATAATTGACTTGGAAGTTAATTTAGAAGAGAAAATCAGTGATAAAATTAATATTTTAGAAGATAAGATCGCAGAAAATTCTAAAGACATACAGGCCAGCTTTAATAACAAAATACTTAATTTAGAAGAAAAGATAACAGAAAATTCCAGGGAATTAGAAGAAAAGATTATAGAGAATTCTACGGAGCTACAAGACAAAATAACACAAATTGAGGACGATGTAAATAAAAAAATCGAAATTTTAAAACAAGAAATAGAAAAGGCCAATTCACCAAAATGTCAAGAAACATCGGAGGCACCGAAACTAGTCGAAAACAAGTATATCTCAAAGTCAGTTATTAAGCCTCCACAGTTTGACGGAAAAACCGCTTGGGCCAATTATTTTTGCCAGTTTGATGCCGCTGCGAGAGCGAACGGATGGACAATCGCTGAAAAGGCTACCGCTTTGACTGTCGCACTGCGAGGAGATGCGACTGATATCCTGCAGACACTGTCACCATCGGAACAGGGAGATTATCAGCAATTGGTACGACATTTAGAAATGAGGTACGGCCAAGCTCATTTGGAACATGTCTATCATTCCCAGCTAAAAATCGCATTCAAAAAGCAAATGAATCTCTGCAGGAGTTTGAAGCCGATGTAGCCCGTCTCGTTCGCCTTGCGTACCCTGCTACGCCCGAGAATGTTATGGAGCGCTTAACAGTACAGGCTTTTATTGATGGTTTACGTGACAACGAGACAAGGCAAACACTTCTTTTAGCTCATCCAACGCATTTGGGAGATGCCCTAGTACGTGCCCTGGAATTTGAGGCCGCGAAAGAATGCTCTAGGTCTCTAGGATTTGTACGGGCTGTTGAGGAGAGTTCCGACGATTCCAAAGTGGAAAGGATTGTGCGGAAAGTACTGGATCAGTATATGAGCAAGAAGGGGAGACCGATTCGCTGTTGGAATTGCGGACAGATGGGAAATCGTTACAAAGAAGAGAAAGAAGTGAAAGTCTTAAGGACGACTGTGGTTGGTGATAGTTGGCAAACCGAAGATCTTGCAAATGACCAAATCAGTGATCCAGAGTTGGGCTTAGTAATTAACTGGAAAAACACAGGCCAAAGACCAACGTGGGAAGAAGTTTGCAGATATTCGCCGAACGTGAAGTCGTACTGGTCCCAGTGGAATTCATTGGTAATAGATAACGGATTGCTTCGCCGTGTGATTGAGAGATCAGAGGGACAAGAAGAGAGAAGGCAGATCGTCATTCCAAAGAAGAGGGTCCCGGAAATCTTGGCGGAAGTTCACAATGGAACCAGCGGTGGACATCTTGGTGTTACCAAGACACTTGGCAAGCTGCGTGAACGGTTCTACTGGGTGAACTGCAAAGAAGATGTGAGGGCCTGGTGTAAGAAATGTGACATTTGCGCAGCCATTAATGGGCCACAAAAGCGTGGTAAAGCCCCTATGCGCCAGTACAATGTTGGTAGTCCCTTCGAACGAATAGCGATCGACGTGGCTGGTCCTTTCCCGGAGACGAACGATGGCAACAAATACATTGTGGTAGTAATGGATTACTTCAGCAAATGGGTCGAGGCCTACGCGTTGCCAAATCAAGAAGCGTCCACGATTGCTGATGCCCTTGTTAAAGAATGGATCTGCAGGTTTGGTGTTCCCATGGAGCTTCATTCAGATCAGGGAAGAAACTTTGAGTCCAATCTGTTCCAAGGCGTCTGTGAAGTCCTGAACATCCGCAAGACCAGGACGACTGCTCTACATCCACAATCCGATGGGATGGTTGAACGCATGAACAGAACTATCAACCGTTATCTGGCCAAAGTAGTCTCTGACCACCAAAGAGACTGGGACAAATTTCTTCACCTGTTCCTGTTGGCCTACCGTTCATCCGTCCAAGAATCTACAGGGCAAACTCCAGCCAGCATCGTTATGGGACGGGAAGTGCGCCTACCCTGTGATCTGAAATTTGGTTGCCGACCGGGAGAAGAAGTCGCCGGAGAAGATTATGTCCACACACTACGTCAAAGGATGGACGACATTCATCAGAGAGTCCGCCTAAATATTCAAAGTGCTAGTGACCGAATGAAGGAACACTACGACATTCAAGCTGAGCATGGAGGATACCAACCAGGGAAGTTGGTGTGGCTATATAACCCGCAGAGACGTCGTGGGTTATCTCCGAAGCTACAATCCTCGTGGGAAGGGCCATACGAAGTCATGGATAGAATTAATGACGTCGTATACCGTATCAGAAAATTGCCAAAAGGAAAACCGAGGGTAGTCCATTTCAACCGTTTGAGCCCCTACCAAGGCGAAATAGAAGATCGTGCTGGGACCGTGAGAACCTGCAGCTTTGATCCCCCTGATTCGGAGATGTCCTTTGACGATTTCATGGCCCGATACAACAGCAGTGAGAAGGCTCGCTATGGTGTAACCAAAGAAGATCAACGAGACCTCTTTTCCGTGCCTCCTGATTATTCGCTCGCTCATTGTGTGGCTCGAGATTTGCGGATGTCCAGAGGAATCGCTGCGACGTTCAATGAGAAGTTTGGGCGTGTCGGAGAACTACGCCGACAGGATCCAGAGGTTGGAAGCGTCTTGAGGCTAACCGACAATGCACATGGTCAAGCAAGGCACATCTTCTACCTGGTCACCAAGGAATGGTCCCCGAGTAAGCCGACTTATCTCAATCTATGGAAGACCCTGATTGAACTGAGAGAAGCCCTGCTAAACAACAACATTGCACGATTAGCCATTCCGAAGCTGGCGTGTGGACTCGATGGTTTGAGTTGGCGTACAATCCGGAACATGATTGAAGTCTTGTTCAGATTTACGGGAATCGAGATCCTCGTTTGCTGCTACAACCCAAAGCTGAGATCGGGAGAGAAAACTGTAGACTGCTATTTCTACCAGACTTCGCAATGTACCAGGGGCCAGCTTTGCAAATACCTTCATTCACCGTATACATCTCGGGACGAGCATGTGCCTAAGAAGGGGGCAGTGTTGCGAGCCGGTGTGGACTCGACCTAACCTCACAATATGGCCCGCCCTCGGATGACCTTAACATCGCATAGACACCGCAATGATTCATTCGTTCGAGAAGAATCGAGACCCACTAGAATGGACTAGTACATACGAGAACATTCGAAAACCTTCTCTATGCGCCTAACGATCTATGGACTATTCTAGATTTCTTTTGCTGTAGGTATAAAAGCCGGCGGCAGTGGCCTAGAGAGGGCAGTTATAAATATACAGTTGACGCGCTAAAATTCAAAATAAATTCTTAGTTATAAATCGTTTGTAAATAGTTCTATAAGTCTTTTATCGTTATTGTTTTTGTTAATTAGTGTTAAATAAATAGTGTTTAAATAAATTGTGACTTTCTGTCCACACGGAACCGACGAAAAACGTAACAATAATAATTAATATCGCCTAATGTGTATACTTACTCCAATAGTATCTTAAAACTTTTTTCAACGACATCGAAAGCTAAAATACAATCTGGTACTTTAAACGGTTTACCCTGAATTTTCTGAATATCGTCATTATTTATTCTTGTATTGCTAGTATGAGATTCATTTTTCTGAGTTTGCTTTTGGGATATTTGGGAGTCCTTTTGAGTAATTTTATCTTTCTTTTTACCTTTTTTTGGTTTACTTAGATTCTAAAGTAAGAAATTAATGGTTATTATTTTCTTTTTTTCGACAAATTAATAAAATACTTTTCCAAAATTCACAAATCTGTTATAGGCTTGAAATAAACTTGATATGGTTGAAGCTTGATTCTCACATTCTCTAGTCCAAGTAAGTATTTTATATCCTATTAGAGCCTCATACACAGTTAAAACCTCTTTTAAAACGAGCATTTTTTGTTGAGATTCGGGTAAGATATCGGTAAGGTCTGATCCATCATCCTGAAAATTATCCAAAATATATAAAGAACACTTAACATTAGGTGATTATTCTTACCAGTTCCAGATGAACAAATTCACAGTTTATCATTCTATTGCAAATAGAATCTAAAATTTGACCATATTTTATCACTGTAGAATTATCTTTTTTATCTTCAGATTCGTTAAGTTTTGCAGTAATGTGGGCTATGGAGTATATTAGTTTTCCCAAAGGTTCCTTTAGAATAAAATGACATTAAAACACGTATTATTTATTATTTTATAAATAACAAACTATATAGCTCTTTTCATTTGTATTATACAAACAGGGTGAGTCTTAAATAAGTACAAATATTTTTAGAGGCGATATATTTAGAACTCGGGAACTCGTCTATAAGTTTTTGTTTGTGAGAAAAATAGTTTTTTTTTTGATATTTACAGAAAACATAATGGGCGCATTCAGGGACAGTCGGCGGCTGAGTGGCCGAGTAAAGCGGTTCCCGAAACGGTCTCTTTTTACACACAAGAACAGTCAGCCGCTGAGCAAAAGTCTCAGCAGCGGTCAGTCAGCCGCTGTGTTCCCTGAACGCGCACAATATCTTCATAATATGGTAGCACAGGAAGTAGATTCATATACCGGGTGTTTCTCAAACGAGGCTCACCCCTATACCTTTTTTATTGACATGTTACGGTTAAAGTCCGATGTCCGGTTAATGTCGACATTAACATGTTAATGTTTGGGTTAGGTTGTGTTTTTGGTTGTTTTGTTGTGTGTTATTCTCGAGATTAACCGGGTAATGTCGACATTAACCGGACATCGGACTTTAACCGTAACAGATATATGACATAAATTAAGGTTATGTAAGATCTATTGACGTATTAATTTTTTCAACTTTCGATTTTTAAATGACACATTAGTATTTTTTTACCTCATTTTATAGAAAGTGACATTCTATATGTCAACTTTTGACATTTTCAATTAAAAAATAGCATTTTAAATTCCATTTTAGAGTGCCGTGCCCATAAATGTAACGGCAATTTGACTCGAAATATCAAGTGTGTAGTACCAAACTATCCCTAAAAAATGCTTTTTCTAAATATGCTAATGAGCCACCCTCGTTTCGTTTGTAAAAATTTACTTATGATTAAAAAATACGATTTGGTCATCTTTTAAACATTAGACGATCAAATATATTTTTTCAAGGCTCTTTGATTAAAATTTAATGTTTTTAAGACAACCGTGACACTTTAGATTAAAATTTAAAATACGATTTTTTTAAGCAAGAATGTCAAAAAGTTGACATATTATATGTCATTCTATTCATAGTGTCATTTTCTATTGAATAAAGTAAAAACATACCATTTAAAAATCAAAAGTGGTAGTCAGTTCCGGTGAAACCGAACAGGAAGTGACCCAAAACAATTGAATACGTCTACACTAAATCTCGTTTATTTATCTGAAAAAATAAAAGTTATAGGGGTGAGCCACTTTTGAGAAACACCCGGTTTATACTAAAGGCTGGCAAAGGTTAGTTTTGTATTGTGTGTATAGGATATATTGAACAAAGAGAGAACAATAAAAACGTTGCCAAAGGTATGAAATAAACCGATAAACTGTGCACATTGCTAAGAGACGTGGAAGGGCATATAGCAGATTCGTCGCGGTCAACACAATCAATTCTTTAAATTCTAGAGAAGGGTGTACATTGTACATCATGCGTTCACCTTCACTATTTAATTACGTCTCGTGATAATTTATTTATTTATTAACGAGTCGTTGTAATTTTCCCTAAAGCTTGTAAATTTTTAAGTGCAAGTTAGAAACACTTGCACTTTTGGTAAAAATAAGTGGAAGGTGTTCGACAGTGGTCGCGCTATTAGAACTCGCATTCAAAAATCGATATCTCGAAATCCAGTAGAAATAATTGATTGTAGTTTTTTTCAAAAACTTTCTTAATATTTCTGCTCTTATTTTCTTCGCAGACAGTATGTGAAAATCTTTATAAATAAAAAAGTTACACGATTGCTGAAAATAATATGCACTAAAAGTAAATGGGGTTTTTAAAATTTTGAATGAAGAAAAACAAGCCTATCGAATTTTTCTTATTTAATCTTGTAAAAGATCCGAACTTCAAAATAAAAAAAAGTTTCAATATTTAGTGTTTTTGAGTTATCACATGTTATGTGTTAAAAAGTTCAGTTTTTAAATTATCGCGATTAATGACGTTTTCTCGTTATAAAAAATGGATACCCTAACGATATCCTGATAATTCCATTTCAGATGCTCAGAAAAGTCTTTTAAAAATAAGCGGTTTACGATTGTGATTTTACTGTACGGTAAAAATAAGTGGAAGGTGTTCGACAGTGGTCGCGCTATTAGAACTCGCATTCAAAAATCGATATCTCGAAATCCAGTAGAAATAATTGATTGTAGTTTTTTTCAAAAACTTTCTTAATATTTCTGCTCTTATTTTCTTCGCAGACAGTATGTGAAAATCTTTATAAATAAAAAAGTTACACGATTGCTGAAAATAATATGCACTAAAAGTAAATGGGGTTTTTTAAAATTTTGAATGAAGAAAAAACAAGCCTATCGAATTTTTCTTATTTAATCTTGTAAAAGATCCGAACTTCAAAATAAAAAAAAAGTTTCAATATTTAGTGTTTTTTGAGTTATCACATGTTATGTGTTAAAAAGTTCAGTTTTTAAATTATCGCGATTAATGACGTTTTCTCGTTATAAAAAATGGATACCCTAACGATATCCTGATAATTCCATTTCAGATGCTCAGAAAAGTCTTTTAAAAATAAGCGGTTTACGATTGTGATTTTACTGTACTTGATAGGAAAAGGCGTACCGGAGAAATGTGGCAACGCCACAACAGCACACCGTCGCATTTCTCTCACTCCGACATAATAAGATCCCTATGCGATTTAATTCCACACATGTAAATACCGACCCAAAAGTAAGAGTTGCTAGCACGGTATATAGAAGTAATATAACTCAGCTGTATTAGACTTATTTGAAATACGACGAAGAGAAAATATATTTCTTTTATTGAGACCTACCAGCACTGTAAATATTTGCGCTTATATTTAAGACTTGCCCTATATTTTTACTAAGAATATTATTGCAAATATTACTTTTTGTACACTAACTAGAGTTCTAAGATTGATTACTTAATTATACCCTTACCATCGAGATAGTAGGCCAGATAACTCTGACGTAAAAATCTGATACGTCATCGAGGAAAGGCGGACTATCGTTCAGTTGACGACATGTTTAATGTGCGAGAGATGGGCTTCGATATCTAAACGATTTTTTGTTACTTTAAATAGTCTTTCGGGCCTATTTTTCTCAATGGTAACGATTATAGACATACAATCGGCAATAAATAACACTACCAGTTAAATAAACACTTACAGCTAATATGCTATTAGTTTCTTTTAACGATGTACTCTTAATAAAGTTAAGCGGAGGAATGGTATCTTCGTCTATAATATAATATTCCATAAAATGAAACCAAAGAGTTTCCAATACAGGAATCCCTAAATCTTCGTTGATATCTACCGCGTTACTTAAACCTAAAATTAATTAAAAACATATAATTTAAAAAAGACGGGATAATTGTTTTTATTGGCATATTCATAAAAATCAAAATACCGTATGATCGAATAAAAAACGGCGTCCAGTTGGTTTGGAAATAACGATCGATAACATTACCCATATAATTTTTCATATTAGTTATTATTGATCGTATGGTATTTTCAACAGGAAGTACTACTAATAAATATAAGTTTTATTTGTTCTTCAACAAAGAGTTTTTTTTGTCTTTCCTATATCTTGGAAGTAGTAATGCTTCTTTCGTTACTTTTCCGTGTAAATAAAAACAAAAGATTTTTGTTTTAATTGATCCTAGCTACAACACCCAAGAAATAACAAATAAAACTTATTATGTGAGGTTCAAGTTAACGTCTCCTTTCTGCTGCAATGGCTAAACTGGACGGGACCTACTTTGTTTACGCGGAATCCGAACCGCGGTCCTCGGCCATATCATGGTCAATTGCCTACCGACTTAGGAAGTGTCTAAATTAACTCTTACTCACGAGATATCCGATCTCATCCGGCCTTGAACCGGCGTAAATGAGCAGTGTGTATCAATAGATTTTACACTTTTCCTTTGGACAACAGCACGAGGCAAAGTTTCGAACCGGTCACCCGTCCATCCACTAGCATCGCCTTCCGTCGCTTAACTTCGGTGTTCTAATGGGAACCGGGGTTTCGACGTAGCTGGGCCGTTGCCGTAAAACTTATTATATAAAGGCTGAAGAATAATTACAGTCACTAATAAATATAGGTATATTATAGGTAAATTTCTTGTATATCTTGCCGGGTTCAGATTATTTCGTTTTTATTGTGTAATAATAATTTATTTGTACGTTTTTTCTTAACTTACTTTACAATACTTAAAAAAATACCGTTACAGCCTATTTCTTGAATAATCCGTCGTAGCTTTGCTAGTTGCTATAAATATCGTAATCTTAATCCATACAGGGTGTTTTTAATTAAAAAATTTTTAATTAAAAAAAAATTAAAAATTATTTTTTAATTCTCCATTTAACAAAGAAATAATATACTCGGTGTATATGTACTGGTTAACAAAGAACTAATATACTGGTGAAATAATATTTACAGGGTTTTCCAAACGATTAGAAACTATTTTATATTTTAGAAATTTGCGAACTGATTCAACACAAGGCACCTGTGCAGCGGTGGAACTACGTCACGAGTGGGCGTAGCCTCGTCTCAGCGTTATAAAATTTAAGGTCCCATATCTCTAAAACGCCAAAAGATTTGGTTTTGAAATTTTAGGGGAGCAATTATTATAATAAGTAGTACCCAAAAACCTTTAAAAATCATACAAATAAAATATGATGGAACAAGCCTATTGTCTAGCAGTAACATATAATCTTGGAAAAGCTTGAGGCGTCTGTAAGGGTGGCACAACAAGGTCTGCCTATTATTGGCCGTCTCTGATAACCTTAAGAATTTTGGCATCTCGAACCAGCTCTAGAAGCACTAAATTAGTTAATATCCATAATATTAGCGACATAATATGAGAACTTATTAATTTTTGCTAATTGTTCAGGAGTTAAATTACTCACTTTAATTTTCAACAATAAAACGAACTAAGAAGTAATTCAAACTAGTGTAAGATTATCCATACAAGACACGTATCATAAACTAAAACCTTGCAATTAAAAAAAAAGAAAATAGGCACTTATTTTAGAACAAAAAACAAGCCAAGTATTTCTTTTATTTTGTACCTATTCCATGCATATGAAGTACAAATAACAAAAAACAATACACAATGCCACAAATCTAAAAAATATATAGCTAAATAACGAAATACGCCATACCTTTTGAGCGTGTGTATTTTTCGACAGATGTATTGGTATAATATCTTACTTTCATATAATATGGATTTGACTTCTATCTGCTGAACAAAACATCTTTTTAAAATTCCTAAAATTTCCCAGCATATCGCTTCATTGCTAAAATTACTCGATTTTAACGTTTGGCTGGCTCTACCCAAGGAAATTTGGGTGTACAATGAATATCCAGACGAAAGTGATGCACTACTTTCACTTTGTAAGTGTATGGTAGATAATTTTAGTGTTGCAATTAGCTTTACAAAGCCGTTTACAGCTACTTGTCGAGTTTCCATTGACCTAACACAAGTTATATTAATTAAAAATATAAAAATTCGTACAATACTTTACCTGGAATATAAACCTTTCCTTAATATTAAAATAAGTTGATCCCTTATTGTGGGAGAAGCTCGAGTTAAGAGAGCTAAGGCATATAATAACTGATTTGCAGTAGCTTCAGGTATTTGTACTAGACTCTCCATTAACTCCGTTATAGAATTTTGGTTCTCCAACATTAATAGAGGCATTTCTTTACATAGAATATACAAGCAATCTGTAATATATAATTGTTAATGTATTATATGTGTTATATTCTAATCTACTGTACATCATTCATTAGTCATCAATTTGGTACAAGCTTAGAGTATAACTAACATATATAGGGTGATTCACGGAGATGGAGATCATTATATTTTTACCAAAGTATAAAAAATTAGACGTTTATGTGGTGATTTTTACATAAAGGGACCTGCTCCATCTTCCTAAAAATTTTGCAGGATTACAATGTTGCCGCATCATTTAAAAAGTGGTAGCGTAATTCTTATTTTAAATGGAACACCCAGTATATTATTACCATTTTTGAAAACTACATTCACACTTTCATATTTCATATCCTCATAACTTTTCTATTGTAATAACTAGTCCAGTCATCTTAAGGGTTTCACCTCGGAATTCGAAATAACCGGCTGTAAACTCGTATAAACCTTTATTTTAACATCCTAAAACATGTCTCAAAACCTACATATATGATAGCGTGTGCGTGACTTGTAGATAACTGAGGTCAAAGGTCAAAAAATCTATTTTTTGCGCATTTTTTGCAAATATCTCGTTCCCTTTCACATTTACGCTATTTGTATTTATTATAGTATTATTATAGTATATATTGTAGAGGATAAAATTCTCTACAACTTTTGTTTCAAAAATTTTTTTGTACCTCAAACCGTTTTTGAGATAGAGGACGGTGAGCGCGCAGTCTTTCATTATGTACGGTATCATTCAAGTTCAACTGTAGTCTCGGTCAAAAACACGCCGTATAAGTCCGTTAATTATTGAAAAATATATTATTATAAATAATTTACATTTTTTCATAAAAGATCAAAGTTTTTTTCCCAATTTGATCTAAACCCAAGTTGGCATCTATTTAAGTCTTGACAATATTGAATATAATAATTTTTTCATAAATTAAGTGTCTTCATTTAATAACACTTACCTCTTTGTACAATTAGAAAATTATTAACAGAAATACTTTAATTACATTTTAATTATAGTTAGATTTATACTAATTACATTTTAAGTAAATAAAAAGACAATAAATACATTTTTAACTTATATGTCTTAAAAAATACGATTTCCTACATTTCTCATGTTTGAAATTAAAAAAATTGAATAAAAATAAAAAGAACTCCATGTTCTTATTTTTAGTTTCCTTCTTCTTCTTCATCATCGTCGTCTGGTCGTTGTGGAATTTCAAATTCTTCTTCATTTTCATCTTCAACATTTTTTTTCGGGGGATTTCGGGGTCAAATGTACCATCTTCAATGACATCACTCTGATAGGGTGAAGCATTGAGACAAGCTTGCCCATTACACTGGCCACAAGCTAAAGAGCACGGCAACCCTGATTTCCTGCATCCACATCGCGAACCACAACCATTCTTGCAGTTGCAGAATATTGTGTTCAGCAAATTTTCTGGAGCTAGAGGTAGAATAGTAGTGGTAGGTTCCAGGAATCCATTACGCATTATCCAACCCCAGTCTTGGGGTTCTATAAATCATGCCCTAACCAAGTCTGAACTTGGTAGTAAACACGATTGAAATGTTGGTGAGCTGCTGCACTTGTTGGTGGAAGATCTGATAATTGAACAGGTTTATTCAGTTTGGTTGTAACCAAACTGAATAAACTAACCTAACCAAACTAATTATAATTAAAATGTAATTAAAGTATATTCAATATGATCTTTTATGAAAAACTGTAAATTATTTATAATTATATATTTTTCAATAATTAACGGACTTTATACGGTTTTAACGGACTTTTTATTAACGGACTTATACGGTCTGTTTTTGACCGAGACTACAGATTGAAATTGAATGAAACTGTACATAATGAAAGACTGCGCGCTCACCGCCCTCTATCTCAAAAACGGTTTGGAGTACAAAAAAAATTTTGAAACTAAAGTTGTAGAGAATTTTATCCTCTACAATACTGTTGCGGACCCGTACCGTGTGAACTCGGCCTTAGGCTTGGCCACTCGGCTATGACTCATACGCCGGCGACGCCGACCTTCTAGAACGGCTAAGAATTGACGGGACAAATCTGGATTGTCTATTGCTCTCATATATAAGCAGACACCTGAGGCCTGAGGAAGATAAAGATAAACAACCGGTCGACGCGTACAGTTACAATCGCCGCGCTATATTCAAAATAAATTCCTGTTAGATAAATTGTAAATAAGTTATAAATAGTTCTTTAAGTTTTTTTTAACGTTATTGTTTGTTATTTAGCATTAAATAAATTGTGACTCTCTATCCACACGGAACCGACGAAAAACGTAACAATTGGTGTCAGGTGTGGGGTGTGTGATAGACTATAGAAAAATAAAAAGACTGACAATGGCTCCGAAAAAATTATTGAAAGATTTGAAAGTGTCGGAATTAAAATGCATACTGGAAGAGAGGGAATGCGAGACAGATGGAAAGAAAAGCATTTTGCAAGCCAGACTGAGAGACGTTTAGGTGGAGGAAAGTGAGGATCCTGACACATTTTGCTTTGAGTTGGAAAGTGACCTTGACTCGTCCTTACAAAAATTAGAAGACAATTTGAATAGTAAAATAATTGATTTGGAAGTTAATTTAAAAGATAAAATCAGTAATAAAATGACGGAAATTTCCCCAAAAATTTGAAGATAAAATTAATATTTTAGAAGATAAAATTGCAGAAAATGCCAAAGATATACAGGCCAGCTTTAATAATAAAATAATGAATTTAGAAGAAAAGATAACAGAAATTATAGAGAATTCTACGGAACTACAAGATAAAATAACACAAATTGAGGACGATGTAAACAGAAAAATCGAGATTTTGAGAGAAGAAATGGGAAAGGCAAATTAACCAAAATGTCAAGAATCGTCGGAGGACCCGAAACTAGTCGAAAATAAGTATACCTCAAAGTCAGTTATGAAGCCTCCACAGTTTGACGGAAAAACCGCTTGGGCTAACTACTTTTGCCAATTTCAAGCCGCTGCGAGAGCGAACGGCTGGACAATCGCTGAAAAAGCTACCGCTCTGACTATCGCACTGCGGGGTGATGCGACTGACATCCTGCAGACACTCTCACCATCGGAACAGGAAGATTATCAGCAATTGGTACGACATTTTGAAATGAGATACGGCCAGGCTCATTTAGAGCATGTCTACCATTCCCAGCTCAAAAATTGCATTCAGAAGTCAAATGAGTCTCTGCAGGAGTTTGAAGCCGACGTAGCCCGCCTTGTTCGCCTTGCGTATCCTGCTACGCCCGAGAATGTTATGGAGCGGTTGGCAGTATAGGCATTCTCCGACGGCTTACGCGACAACGAGACAAGGCAAGCACTTCTTCTAGCCCACCCAACGCATTTGGTGGATGCTTTAGCACGTGCTCTAGAATTCGAGGCCGCAAAACAAAGTTCGCGGTCGTTAGGAAGAGTACGGGCCATCGACGAATGTTCCGACGAATCCGTGGAAGGGATTATTCGGAAAGTAATGGACCAGTACATGGGCAAGAAGGGACCGATTGGTTGCTGGAACTGCGGACAGGTGGGACACGTGCGAAGCCGTTGTAAGGAGAAGAACGAAGAACCGGCTTCGTCGAGGTCGGAAAACTACTAAGGGTCGAAATGAAGGGGCACACGTCGACCTGTACCCAACATGTCCCAATGAAAACTGCTCAAGTCGCCTCGCTACAACACAAATTCAACAGCATTTTTGTGGATGGTTTTGTTGATGAAGAGTTCCGAACCATGCTGTTGGATACAGGTGCGACGAAAACTATCATCAGACCGGACATTCTTAAAACATCGAAGAAGGTTAAAACAACACAATGGCGACTACGTACTGCTACGGGGGGCTCCGCTGCTGTCCATGGAGTAGTAAGCCTTAATTTTGTTATTGGGAGCACCAGTTTCGAACATCCAGTGTTAGTAGCAGATATCGAAGATGAACTTATTCTCGGAATGGACATCATGACCACTAGAGCTTTTGAACTAAACTTCAAACAGGGAATTTTGAAAATAAATGAGGAAGAAGTAGTTCTGCATCGAAAATGTGAGGAGACGCTTCGTGTGGTAGTAGCAGAAGATGTTTCGATCCCTGAGCGCTGCGAGATATTTGTGGATGGTTGCCTGGAAGGTAAAATGAATAATCGGAGTATTATTCTGTTGGAGCCAAGGAACCATGACAGCGAAATAGGACGAGGGGTCGCTGTAGGAAAAGCCCTGCTACGAGCGAAGAAGACTGTACCGGTGAGAGTAATGAACACTAATTATTATTCTGTGTCCTTGAAGAAGGGAACCCTGTTAGGGTACTGTTGCTCGGTGTCCTCAGTTATTCGAAGCACGGAAACCTCTAAAGTTTCGGCTTCAAAAATGTCGGACAAAATGGTGAAGGAGTTCGTAAACCTTAAGGGATTATCTCCCGAAGATAGTAGAAAATTGAGAAACCTGATAATCAAGTATCAAGATGTGTTTGATAAAGGAGAAGCAGGACAGAGAGGTCGTACCAATTTAGTACAGCATAAAATTGATACCGGAGATGCACGACCAATCAAACAAAATCCAAGAAGACTTCCACTCGCCAAACGTGAAGAAGCCGACAAGATCCTTCGAGAAATGAAAGAAGAGGGTGTTATCGAACCATCTAACAGCCCGTGGACATCGCCGGTAGTACTAGTAAAGAAGAAAGACGGTACTGGTGGTACCGTCTTTCTGTATTGATTATCGGCAGCTCAATAATGCTACCAAGAAGGATAGTTATCCCCTGCCGAAGATAGACGATACTCTAGACACGCTGGCGGGGTCGACGATATTCTCTACCTTGGATCTGAAGAGTGGATATTGGCAAGTCGACATGGCGCCTAAAGACAGAGAGAAGACAGCGTTCTCGGTGGGCTCCGGACTGTGGCAATTTACTGTCATGCCTTTTGGATTGTGCAATGCGCCAGCTACCTTTGAGAGATTAATGGAGTCTTTGTTAAAGGGACTATCCTGGACTACCTGTTTAGTGTACCTGGATGACATTATAGTGGTTGGGAAATCCTTTGACGATCATCTGAAGAATTTAGAAGAAGTTTTCAAGCGACTAGCGAGCTCTGGTTTGAAACTTAGCCCTAAGAAATGTCATCTGTGTCAAGAAAAGGTACACTACTTGGGCCATGTAGTCTCCTCCCAGGGAGTTGCGGTAGATCCACAGAAGACCAAGACAGTGGAAGAGTGGCCGATACCTAAAGACAAACATGAACTCAGAAGCTTTTTGGGGCTATGCACATACTATCGCCGCTATGTGCAGGGTTTCGCCACCATCGCTAAACCATTGACTAGACTTACTGAAGGCGAGAGGCGTTTCTCTTGGGACTCAGATTCTGACGAGGCATTCCGAAGATTGAAGAAGGCCCTGATTAGTGCGCCCATACTTAGCTACCCTCTTGGCAACGGAAACTTATCTTGGATACCGACGCTAGTAATGTTGGATTAGGCGCTGTTTTGTCTCAGATTCAGGATGGCCAAGAAAAAGTAATTGGATATTTCAGTAAGACCTTGTCAAAACCAGAAAGGAACTACTGTGTGACCAGACGAGAATTACTAGCAGTAGTTAAAGCAGTGGAACACTTCTACAAATATCTCTATGGAAGAAAGTTCTTGTTAAGAACAGACCATGCTGCTTTGAAATGGCTTTTGCAGTTTAAGAATCCTGAAGGGCAGGTAGCTAGATGAATTCTACGATTACAAGAATTTGACACAGAACATCGAGCTGGGGCAATCCATCGAAATGCCGACGCACTTTCCAGAAGACATTGCGATAAGGACTGTAAGCATTGTTCCCGAGCAGAAGAGAAAGAAGCGAAACTCCTAAGAACAACTGTGGTTAATGATACTTGGCAACCCGAAGATCTTGCAAATGACCAAACCAGTGACCCAGAGTTAGGTTTAGTAATTAACTGGAAAAACGCAGACCAAAGACCAACGTGGGAGGAAGTTTGCAGATATTCGCCGAACGTGAAGTCGTACTGGGCCCAGTGGAATTCCTTGGTAACAGATAACGGATTACTTCGTCGTGTGATCGAGAGACCAGAGGGACAGGAAGAAAGAAGACAGATCGTCATTCCAAAGAAGAGGATCCCGGAAGTCTTGGAGGAAGTTCACAATGGAACCAGCGGTGGGCATCTTGGCAAGACACTTGGCAAGCTGCGTGAACGGTTATATTGGGTGAACTGCAAAGATGTGAGGGCCTGGTGCAAGAAATGTGATACAATATTTATAATAAATACAAATAGCGTAAATGTGAAAGGGAACGAGATATTTGCAAAAAATGCGAAAAAAATCGATTTTTTGACCTTTAACCTCAGTTATCTACAAGTCGCGCACACGCTATCATATGTAGGTTTTTAGACATGTTTTAGGATGTTAAAATAAAGGTTTATACGAGTTTACAGCCGGTTATCTTGAATTCCGAGATTCCTACCCTATTTCGACTAAGATGACTGGACTATAACCTACACCCATCTTTAATAGTTTCTACATATATAAAATGTTAATGCTTATCTGTGTCGTCTCTAATAAAGTAACGACATGCTCTAGAAAGTTGCTTTTTTTACTAAAAGATAGCTAATTGGCTCTTCTAAAAACTCGTCGTCGCCGGATTTTTTGTTTTTCATTTAATTAAAAAAAATAAAAAGTATTTTTTTCCTGATGTCGTGGCGGATGCGCCACGCTTCAACTAGTTAAGTTATATTCAGTCATATATGATTTGTTCATAAATAAATAGAAAATTACAGATAACTGGTAGTGCATAGTCTGCATTATTATATTATGTAAAATATTTATTAAAATATATTAATTTCTTTCTGATAATAAGATCAATAACAAAAAGCTGTTATTTTGTTATTTAAGAAATGCGATTTTTCTTCAGTTATTGTATGTATTTACTAAATACTCTTAAATATTTTTTCTTCATAAAAATTATTTATTTTGAGTTCAGTGTCCAATCCAGAATACTTTTAACCAATGTTTCAAAAAATATATCTGTTGCTATAGCCAAAATTGAACGACAAGCTTTTAATTCAAAGTTTAGAAATTATTAAAAACGAGCCGAGGTGCCCGGTGGCTTTGCCGGTGGCATAGAGGTATAGCTCTCGTCTACCAATCTCAAGGTTGTGGGTTCGAATCCTACAGCCGGCCGGCATATCATCAGCCGACTATTTCTATTAAAATAAAAACAGTTTAGGTACCTAGGTCGACTCAGCCTTAAATGAGTACTTGGGATTCACAATCCTGGGGTAATAATAGGCGGTTGAAGCGTGATGCTAGCCACATTACCTTCCTGGTATACCAAAGGGCTCTAGCATGGCAATCTGTACCTTGCTACTCCCAAGGCGTAAAACTCTATATACGGGAGCTATTATTATTATTATAAAAAACAAGCCACCGATTTAATAAAATTTGTCTCCATGAATTATCAGCCAATATTTTCAAAAGTTAGAGTTAAATATGACTGCAACAGTATTTTTACATTTTATATATTTCAATATACGAATTGCACCAGTTTTATAACACTAAAAATGTCACATATTGGGAAGAAATATACAATGGAGTAGCTTTTGCTGATAGAAAAAGTACATAATGTCATCCTACCTACATATTGAATAGCAGACTGTTTAGTTACAACATGGATACAAATAGTTTTCAATATTGTCATTAAAATATATCTTTTCTTCTGAATAATTTTAATAAGTATTTTATTTCCCAATGACCATTGTTTCTCAGCAATTATATCTCTTCCTAATCCTGATCCCACATTCAATAAAACAAAGCTGAAGCTCACCAAAGACTCTAATAAATATTCTCTATCTCTAGCAAATGACAGAATTTAATGAGTTATTTATTATAATTTCAAAAAAAAATTGTTGAAAGATTGTTGAAATACTTACCCCATATTTATAATTTGCATAAATAAAGTTTCTGGATCTGATTTTGTCTTACAAAGATCGCGATACCAAAATGATAAGTTACTTCTCTGTTGTTCATTATAGCTTTTGACTATGCATGATCTAATTATATCAAAAACAATTTCCTGATATTGTTGTACTGTTGAAATACGGAATAATGCCAGAAGTTGGAAAGGTTGCAGAATGTACTTTGGAGCTTTTACAAGATTTTTTAAAAAGTTTAAATAATCCTTGATGCAATTATGTCCTATAGATGCTGCATTTTGTATATGAAATAATACAGTACTTTCTGCTTCTAGAGCATCATGATCTTCGGCACTTTCTAAAATAACTTGCATATAGTTTTTTTTTAAGTAATAACAAACATACCTATACAATCCAAATCAAGGCTTTCGCTATTACTATTAATTAAATTAGTATTTTTATAGATTCTATGATTAAAATAGTCCTGGAGTTTCAAAAACACTAAATGACTATTTTGGTGTCTGCATAATTTTAACAGTTGATAAACTAATGGTGGAATTTCTTGTGGTGTTAATTTTTCAATATAACAAGACAACTTATTCACAATTTTTTTGTGTTCTTCTTTGGAAACTGACATTTCACTAAAACAACAGTTAATAAGTTAACACAAAAATGAATTATTTATTCTAATATAATTTACTACATTTACACATTAATATATACATTTTTGATGATATCTATTGTAACTTAAAAAATCCATCTAATATTCATTGTAACTTAAAGATGTTATAAATTGTAACTTCGTTTGTTAATTAACTTTATGCCGAGATTAAACAATACAGCGGAAAAAAAGCAAGTATGAAAATATGATCATCCAAGAATTCGGTAACAGCTTGTCCACGGAATATTGAAACACCCTGTATATATAATAGATACGCACACAAATAAGAGAAAGAATGTTGTCTTTTCAGTTACTTCGTTAAAAAAAATATATTATACAAAAATTGCACAAAGTCGATGGCGTCCACTTTTTTTTCACAATAATTTATTGATTAGGTGTGCGACGCCACTGAACTTAATAAATTTAATTTAAATAGGCTTATGTTACGCCCTTATCACTTGAAATAACGCTGACAAATTAAAACAAAATCGGCACCTGGTATTTAAGATAATTAGGAAAAGACTTTTTTTAAGTTTCACATCCTGTTTAAAACTATGCATTTCCGAAGCCACGTTTATAGAATATTTTCCCATATTTCTTGATAAAGAATCACCCCTCGAAATTTGACCGTCTTTTATACAGGGTGGTCCGAATTGTATTCGGGAAACTTCGGCAGCATATTCTGCGGATGGAAATAAGTAAAAAAGTTGTGAAAATTTATGTCCTAAAATGCTTAGTTTCAGAGATACAGGGTATAGAACTTTCATTTTTATTTCGATTTTTTCCAAATAATTTCGGAACTAACATCAATATTTGAATGAAAATTCGTGTCTAGATTTTTGGACAACAGAAATTTGATTTCGACATCATCATGACTCCTACTTGGACGGGGCGCCACTTACATATTTTTTACTGGTTTAAAGAATATTGACTTTACGTTTCAGACTTGTATAAAACGTTATTTTATTATATATTATTTTGTATTACATTTGTATTTTATTTATTTATTATTTTGTATTACGTCCATACTTGTTTAAAACTACAGGGTGATTCCGCCGTTTTTTTACATAAAAAAGGTCTCTCGGTAAAAATTGCTACAGCTAATGGTTCTCCAGATATTTGGAATCTAAAGATACGCGCACACTGACCAGAGCCGCACGCGCCGCATCGACCCAAAAAAAAATTGTTTGTGTTCGAGGTGCGCACACTAGTTAGACTTCATTTAATCTATGTTATCTTCGGTCGATGCGGCGCGTGCGGCTCTGGTCAGTGTGCGCGTACCTTAAACAATCAATACATGTCATTATTGACAAAAATAGAACCTGTTGACTATTGTAGGTATTAGCCTTGTTTATATATTCTTAAAGTTGATCAATCTCTCGACAAAATGTGCTGCCTCTGGTGAACAAATCGTGAAGCTTAGGAAGGAATGAAGCATGTGATTAGGGGCGGAGTCAAAAATATCGATTATTTGCGGTATTTCCCTCAGAGTAATGTAATAATATAGCTCGGATTTTTGTGAACTATAATAGGGCTCAGCTGATTAAGAAATTTAAACAAAACTATTATTTCATTGTTAATTTTCGATTATTTTTGCTGTTATTTTAAGGATTCTAAACCGTATTTAACAAAGAAATAACAATATTCAATATGTTGGTACATTAATGCTAATTACTGGTAATTATTAATATTTAAAAAAAGTTACATACACTTACTTTATTTCGATTTAACCCAGGGCTATAAAATTTTATTTCATTCTTCGATCATTTTATTCTAAATTGAGGTTTTACGAATTTACGATAATTTTTTTTTTGAAAACAAAACCTTTATACATTCTTGATTAAATTTTTTCTTAATTAAAAATAAAACTTGGCACTTGCTTCAATAATATTATTTGACATTTAAATAAATATTATGTACTTAATACACCATTTAAATCTTTATTACACGAAATAAATCTTTCTTAGCGTCTTCCAAAACATGGTCAGAGTCAAGTTTGCTTTAACTTTGTACCATATGAAAAAAAACGGCGTCCAGTTGGCTGGGAAATGACGATCGACATTTCCCATATAAATTTACATATAAAATGACAGCGATCTTCATTTCATAGCCATCGCTGACGCCGTTTATTTTCGATCAAGAATTATAAAAACTGAAAATATCATTATGTTTTAACTCACAAAGCCCGTTAAAACTTTCTACTAGAAAGTTTTATGGTTTAACGAAGAAAGTTTCTAGTATATTGTTTTATTAGGAGTAAAAATGACACTTTTCGTGGCGAGACTGTACGTTTGACATACAGCCGAAGCACAAAAGTTATTTTTACTCCAAATAGAACATGCTATTTTTTCAAACGCCACAAATAATTTTTTAAACAATTTCAAACGTTCCAAATAATATAAAAATATTTAAAACTCATACCAACCTTGTAAGCAATTATCATGATACAAAGAAAACAAGGTATGATATTGCGCAGGTTGGTCATCACGTCACAGGTGATAAACGGCACTATTGGTCGGCAAGCTCCACGCGCCAATTTCAAATTTTCAAACAGATGACACATAATAAATGTGTATAATGTGTCATAACTTTTCAAATGTCAAGCTCGATGATTTTACATAACTTTAGGGGTTATTTAATTCTTCCCTATTTTAGGTCTTTTTTTATTAGTGGCAATTGAACAATACGGATATTTTATGGCATATGACGTCACAGGCGATATGCGCAAAATGAACGAAATTGGAGACGCTATCGACCACACCTTGTTTTCAAGTTTTCTTTGTACCATGAGTAATTATATATCGAGAAACTATGGTTACGGCTCGTTGAATTTGAGACTTATGTCATTTTAATAATATATTTTCATACTTTTATGCTTAGGCGTAAAAGTGCTTTACTTTTATGCCTAGGCATTAAAATGACTTTTTTATATTGTCAATCACGTCGCAAAAATTAATACTTTTGTGACAAAAAAATACTTTTGTGTTTGAAAAAAAATAATATTTTGAAACTAACTGGTATATTTGTCTGCCACAACAAAGTTATTATACAGTGCTTTGAATAAGAAGACTAAGGAAGGAGCATAATGCTATCCATGTATTCATGCATGGTGGGCGGAAAAGCCACCATAAAAGCTCTCTAGGGTGGGGATCCTTGACAGTTCTGTTTGACGATTCATTTGACACATTTGAATTTGATTTGAAATTTTGTGGATTTGTCAGTCTTTACGGAGCTTATTTTATGTTATTTATTATTTATTCTACTACTGACAGTTGTATAAAGGTAGTAAATCTAGATGGAAATTGTGGCAGAACTTAAATTAACACTGACACTATCGCGATTTATCGAAAAAGACTCTAAAATAGTTGGTTGTGTAGCGTGCGGTAGATCTCGGCAAAAATTGGGTGAAATAATGGAACAACTTTTCCTAGTAAGTGACTATATAATATACATACGTGTAGTAAACCGGTCATTTATGAAATTCACTTAAATTAACTAAATTATATATTTTTCTTGCATTTTAGCTTTTATTTATTACTTGTCAAAGATTAGATGTCAAAGAATTTAGATACGTTAATTTGACTTACCTGCTTCAGTAGCGTATCGGATGTTTGTGTTAATAAATACTACTTATTATAACTTATCTATTTTTATTAGAATTATATATTTTTATAACAATTTTAATAACTACCAACATTTATTCACAACGTAAAATAAAACAACAAATTATTGAGTCTACCCCACGTCTACCCTACATCATAGTTTTACATTTTTTAAATAAAATTAGAACGACACTGATAAACCGGAATTTAAGTCGGCCATATTTGAGGCCCATCGCGGTGTACCTAAGATTTTTGATATGCTCCTTCCTTAGTCTTCTTATTAGAAACTTATTAAACTACTTACTTTAAAAATTCATATACAAGGGTATTAGCCTTGTATATGAATTTTTAAAGTAGCTCAACCTAAGACGTTTATGGATGTAAAGCACCAGATGGGGGGGCGTATTTCACAGTCTTTTACTAGAGAAAAATATTTTTTGTTACTCTGAATTTTGAAGCGGCCAATAAAAACAGAGAAAATAAAAATCGATAATTTTCGGACTGTGCCAATTGGTTACTAATCGACCAGATACTTTTTGTCTATTAGATATGCTATTAAAAGCTGGTAATTATACAATTCGACCATTGTAAATACCCGACAAATTCCGCAAGACCGACGAGGTCGATGTTTTTCACCGATAAGAAAAAAAATGTTTGTTTAGATAATTTTCGAGATATTTTTTCTTTCTGAATGCACATTTTAAAGTATTTTATATTCTTTGTCCGCTTGATCTATTATACTGGTCGCACGTATCGAAGTTTTATTTCTTGTAGTTTTAAAACATTTTCTTGTTATTAAACTAGTCAAATAATATTAATTGCAATCAATTATTAAAAAATATTAATTATTTTGGAAAATAACTTTTGAAATGGAGTATTATTGATAAAATTTAGCCAATTTTTTTTACCCAGTAGCGTATTTCAATATGATCTTATCATTTATCACTGTATACTGTATAATAACTTTGTTGTGGCAGAAAAATATACCGGTTAGTTTCAAAATATTATTTTTTTTTGAAACGTCACAAAAGTATTAATTTTGTGATTGACAACATAAAAAAAGTCATTTTAACGCCTAGGCATAAAAGTAAAGCACTTTACGCCTAAGCATAAAAGTATGAAAATATATTATTAAAATGACATAAGTCTCAAATTCAACGAGCCGTAACCATAGTTTCTCGATATATAATTACTCATGGTACAAAGAAAACTTGAAAACAAGGTATGGTCGATAGCGTCTCCAATTTCGTTCAGTTTGCGCATATCGCCTGTGACGTCATATGCCATTCAACAAAATATCCGTATTGTTCAATTGCCACTAATAAAAAAAGACTTAAAATAGGGAAGAATTAAATAACCCCTAAAGTTATGTAAAATC